TGACAGGTCTACGCCTTTCCCCTTGATCTTCTTTTTCTTTTTCTTCTTCCCATTCGTCGTTGCGCCAGCTGCGGGTAAGGGTGCGGGCGCGGGAGCAGTAGGCGGAGGCGGAGGCGCTGTGGCCTGCGTGATTTTTCGAGGTTTTGCAGCAGGCATGGTGCGTGTGACCAGGGAGACGGCAGTAGCTATGTCCAGATGGTGTATGGTGAACGCAGCACGGAAAAGAATAGGATTCGGCTCGCCGGCGAGCAGAGTCCAAACAGATCAGTCTCGGACTGCAGTGAGAGCAAATGCAGAAATCAATTCGGAGTGGTGTTTTCCGCGCCGCTCGTAAACAAATGAACAGAGTCTCGCAAAGATAGAGCCTGGTATGCACGTCGTGGTGAGGATGGTCTTGTCGGTGTGATGGTCAGTCAGACGAGCTTTGGGCGCTTCCTGAATCCTTGATCAGCTCGGAGCGCACGCGCCCCTGCCCCGCCGTGGGGCGATCAGATGGCAAATCAGCGTGTCCGGGGGTTTGGTGCCACTCACGTGCCTAGAGAACAAGAGAGTGGCTTCGTACCACTCATGCCGAGAGAACAATAGTTCGGCAGGAACGGAGTGTCAAGGGGTTTTGTGCCACTCGTGCCGAAAGAACAACAGCTCGGCACGAACAACGGACGCCACTCGTGAAATTCCCAGGGTGTGGCACATTGTCGTACATATATAAATGCGACTCTTCAGTGGGCAGTAGGCAGACAGCACACTCATCTTCTCTTTCTCTCCTCTCCACATCGCATATCAGAATCTCCATCGACATGTCGAACACCCAAGATTCGTCATCGGTTGACGTTTTGGCTTCCTTCTTTTCGCAACTTACCATAAAAGATGGCACGCCTTCTCAAGACCCACTGAAAGACGCGTTAGTGAACAATATCAAGACCATCTGGCAGGCATACGCTGGTGCAGGCTCCGGGAGTGGCAAGATGTTTCTTGATGGCACAATTTTGTTCATCACAAACTCAAACCTCCCACGCGATCGTATTCCCGGTGAACTACGGGCAGCTCTGTTCAAGGATGGTGGCGCGGATGGATCGTGGCAGAGACTTCAGCCCCTTCCAAGCGATCAACTGGACAAGTTGATGGCCGATAATGATATGACAGCATTTCTTCTATCTGCCTGCGGTATGTCTGTTCACTTCCCGTGCTTTCAGTAGTATTGAATGATCATTGACATCATCATAGAACACGACCTGCCGCCTGCCGCGATTGAGACGATGTACGTCATTTCCATCCCTCATTGTTGGCCCGACACTTACCTTATATTTGTGATCATTCTATAGAGCCGAGCAGCAAAAGCGACTGGACGAGGCCTTCCATGTAAAGTTCCGCGGACGCTTCGATGAACTCTTTGTAGAAGCCTTGGACATTTACGCGAAAATATACGACAACGATATATACTACGGTCGCATGATACCCTTCGTTCAAGCTAGCGGAACAGGAAAGACTCGTTTGGCGTGGGAGCTAGGGCATCGGGTGAGTGCGATTGTTTTGCCTGTCGTACGCTCACTGATCGAAGGACATGAACGACAGATGCCTGCATTCTGTGTTTGTTTCCGAGAGGACGAACTGCCAACCTCAGGATGGCCTCCTCGTGACGTCAACCGAAAGTTCTTTGATGGGCTCGATGGGCCGTCCACCTTCCTGGTGAGTTCTTCGTATGATACCCCTTGACGTGCGTCGCTCAGTCAGACTCACAGGCAGAGGAGAAGGCGGCTGCTTTTCTCGGTGCGCTCGTGGAGGTCTTGCATAAAACAGCACCTGCCGATCTGGAGGGCTGGATCAAAGCCTGGTCTATCGAAAATCCAACCGATCTCGACGGTTCAAGTCGCCACAGTCACTTTGAAGATGTGAAAAAACTTACGACAGAGCGGCTGACTGCGTTCAAGGAGGAATTGTTTACCTTGAGATCAGAGCACAACATCACTGTCAGCACTGATGCAGCGGAAGCTGATGACAACGCCGGAGATGAAGAATCCGGAACCAGCGTCACCCGCTGGCACCAGCATTTGTTCAGAATTCTCGCGAAGCCGGCTTTCGATAAGCTCGCGGACTCTGTGCAACGTCTAGGGTATCAGAGGTTCCTTCTAAGTCTCGACGAGTGTACAGAACTCAACGATCCCGCCCTGCTTCGCGGTCCGAAAGGCCCGAGAGGTCCTCAGCGAAAGATGTCGCTCATCGCTCTTCAGCGGATCATCAAGGCCGCAGACGAATTTAGCTTCCCGCATGGCATCCAATTTTGGTATATGCTCTTGGACACGAACTCCTCCGTGTATGAACTCGCTTCTTCTGGGCCAGACGCGTCCTCGTTTCGCTTAACGAGTGCACTTAAACCCTTGCCTGTGTTTTGTTACGTCGATTTCGACCAAATGCGTTACGAAAACAAGCAAGATGACAAGCGAGGTGGCAAGCGAGGTGGCAAGCAAGATGACCAGCAAGATGGCAAGATCATAAATGCGGAAGACGCTCTTCTGATCTCCTTCCTTGCAACGTTGGGCCGGCCTGTAAGTAGCGCTTCTTTCCATCTGCGTGCACTGTCACTCACCAAGCCGATATGCAGTACTGGTATTCCCTTCGCAACACTCCAGAAGTTGTGCGTGCTGCGATCAAGAAGCTAATCTACAACGACGCATTCGATCCGGCAAACCCTGATCATGTGTTCGCCATCTTTGCAAACCGTATCGTGCTGGAACTGAGCAATACGTCGCATTCGAGCCGGATCGCTATAAATGCCGTACGCAGTCACATGCGCCTCCTCACCGATGTCCATGATGCGTTCATCATCACCGAGGCGCCGTCGGAACCTATGCTTGCCGTCGCTGCTGCACAAATCCTCAACGAAAATTCGCAGAACTACGCCAAAGCGTTGGACACACTGATGCGACGACTCATCATCGACGGGGTCGTGACTGATCGAGGGCGACAAGGTGAATTATCCATCAGGCTCTTGCTCACTCTCGCGCGGGACAAGGCGACGCTCCCGGATGGAGGAAAGTTTGTGGATTCCACAGAACCTACTCGGCGCGCTGTCCGTCCTGTAAAACTGTCAGACTTCCTAAAGACCTTGCTTGGCAAAGACCTCGGCATCAAGATCCAGAACACCACTGAGGAGGCCACCACTGAGGCGGCTGAGACTAAGGAGCCCACGACTGAGGAGCATGAGGAGGCTAAGGAAGCTAAGGAGTCCACGATTGAGGAGGATGAGGAGCCCACGACTCAGAAAACCAAGGCTCAGAAGGCCAAGGCTCTGAAGGCTCAGAAGGCGAAGGCTCTGAAGGCCAAGGCTCAGAAGGCGAAGGCTGACGCTCAGAAGGCGAAGGCTGAGGCTCAGAAGGCTAAGGCTGAGCAGGCCAAGGCTGAGAAGGCCAAAGCTGAGAAGACCAAGACTGAGAATGTCAGGCGTCTTTTAAAAGGTGCAGAAAAAGTTTGGATAAACTTTACTCACTGGATCCAAACCCCCGAAGAGATCTCTGTCATCACTCTCGAGTGGCTTGCTGAGCTGTGGTTCCGAGGTGCCGCCGTACAGTGCACCCATAATCAGGCGTTGCTCGATATGCTGTTTGTAACATACAGCGGAGACCTGAGCAAGCCTTTCGACAAGAAGAAGCTCGGATATGCCATCAAACAGATCAAGGCGCGAACGGATGCATCTGGATCAAAGCTAGTTGCTGGACTGGCGGGCCCTATCATAGAGACCACTAACGCGTCAGGCGAGACTGTGCGATATAAACCCGAGAACTACGTCGCAATTTTCATGGATTTCGCTTCCGAGAGTGCCATCGGACACGCTGGGGGGCCTCGCGTTGCTATCGAATTTGGGAAACCTGACATGCAGAAGCACAGCAACTGGATAGGGTACCTTGGGCCCGAGGAGCCGGAACGATACTGCCTCAACATCCGAGGGCACGATAGTCAGGTTTACACCGTGATCACCCCGGAATTCAAGGAACAGTTTGATCTTCTGTTTGCACATGCGATTGCTCCGAGTGGGCCCTTTGAGAAGTACGCGCACGCCATGAAATCGGCTATGGATCCTATCTCGTCGAGACTGCATATCAACCCTGTGTCGTTGAAGGCCGAG